AAAGACAGGCAGAACCTCTGCCACCAGCCTCAGGGGTTAGGATACAGACAGGAAGCTGACTGTCGATGAAGGAGGCAGGTATGAAAGTTCAAAGCATGTGGCATCTTTTATAAATCACCTTCAGATAAGGTAAGCCCTCTCTCTTTAGAGCTGTGCAGCCCTGAAAAACTGACCTGAAGCCATTTAATCAGAGGACACAGTTAATCCTCAGAGCCCTTTATGGCATTAAATCCTTGTGACTATGTTAGGCATGTCTAATTCCTATGTGACCTTCCCTCCATCCAGAAAAATAAAACGAAACAAAGGCATATCTGCCCATTCATTCATCAGTGGGAATTATGCCTGCTTCTTTGGAGCGCACCTTTGGGGAGACAGGCACATCATCAGATGAGTCCTCAGACGAATGCCGAAAGCAACATAGATGTGGAGCTCTGAGAATGCTCTGCAATGCCAGAGCAGTTTCCCCAGGGAGTTCCTCCTGGACCAAGGATGCTAAGGGTGTCCAGGAGCTGGCCTCCCAGCTCCCACTTGGTACTAGATTCTGAGACTCTCCAGGAGATGGTACCAGTGAGGTTCAGCTGTATTCTTACACCACTTGGTTCTGGTTGAAATACAAAACAAAACAAAGCACATTTTCTCCAAACAGCAGATAAGATGGAGTCTGAGGTAGTCAACCTCAGCCCTCGGTTTGGAAAAAGAAACATTTCCTCTAGATAAAAACAAAGTCATCTCCATCCCCGTGTCTCTCAGAGGGGGAGGAGGAAGAGGAAGAGGAAGAGGAGTAGGAGGTGGTGGTGATGGTGGAGGAGGAGGAGGAGGAGGAAGAGGAAGAGCATGTGGGTTTCACCACTTTATTGGAGGAGGAGGAGGAGGAGGAGGAGGAGGAGGAGGAGGAGGAGGAGGAGGAGGAGGAGGAGGAGGAGGAGGAGGAGGAAGAAAAGCATGTGGGTTTCACCACTTTATTCCTGAGCTCTGCTCTGCCTCACTTCTTGCTCAGAGACCGTCTGTTGTTCCCACCTGCCAAGCAGTGCTCGTCCAGACTTCCTCCTACTGTGTGGCTCGTGTCTGCCTTTTGTATCTTATTTATTCTGGTCAGGTCAAGCTTTTTCCCTTAAGTAAATCTGTTACCTTCAAGCCTCCATTTCTTGGTTCCTGCATCCCCTCTGGTGGGATTCCACCTGCGTTGCTCCCAGGCAGGCCCCTCCCCATCTTCCCACTCGCCTCCCCACCACCCCCTGTAGGAATCCTAACCCAGCCCCCTGGGTGCTAATTTTTTACCCTTCTAAATATCTGTAGATTTTATCTGTACCCTTTAAGGCAATACACTTATGGTGATGTGGGTTTTTTTTTTTTCTTATATCATCCTGTTTGTTGAGCCCATGAACTGTCTTATTTATCTATATGTATAACCACTTTTCTCATTGCTATGACAACATATATCATCAGAAGCAACTTACGGAAGGAAGATGCTGTTTTGTTTTTTGGTGTGTGTGGGTGTTTGTCGACTTGTAGTCAGTGTATCAGGTATGTGTCTAGTTCCTGTGGCAACCAGAAGAGGGCGTCAGATCCCCTGAAACTAGAGTTACAGATGGTTGCGAGCTGACATGTGGGTTCTGGGGATAAAATCCAGGTCCTTTGAACAGGCAGCTAGTGTTTACAACCATGAACCATCTCTCCATCCCCTGGAAGGGTTTGTGTTGATTAATAGCTGAAAGATTATAGTCTATCTTGTCAGGGATGGCATGGTGGCAGGAGATGAATGAGAGAGCCTGCTGGGTCTACAGTCAGGAAACAGAGAGAGATGGATGCTGGTACCCAGTTCATTCTCCTTTTTATCCAGTCTGGGGCCCTAAACCACAGGGATGGCACCATCCACACTCAGGGTGTACTTTTCTTCCTCCGTTAAACCTCCTCTCAGACACTCCCGAGAGTGTCTCCTGGGTCTTCCATTGCTGCGAAGAGACTCCATGACCACAGCAATCTTTATAAAAGAAAGCACTTATTTGGGGGCTTGCTAACAGTTTCTGAGGGTTAGTCCATGATCATCATGATGAGAAACAGATGGCCGTGGCAGTGGAGCAGAGACTGGAAGCTTTACATCCTGATCTGCAAGCAGCAAGCAGAGAGACACGGGGCCTGGCACAGGGTTTTGAAACCTCAAAACCCATCACCAGTGACATACCTTCTCCCACAAGGCTACACTTACTCCGACAGAGAGTTCCACTAAATGGGGACCGAGCATTCAAACATATGAGCCTATGGGGGCCATTCTCATTCAAACAACCACACCCTGTATAAAGCAACTCTGCACATTTGGCTAAATAATTTCTCTCTGGTCCATTCTGACCTTGAAAAGAATACGTGTGTGTGTGTGTGTGTGTGTGTGTGTGTGTGTGTCATGTGTCATGCATACACACAGGAGGGCTGTCTTAGTTAGGGTTTCTATTGCAGTGAAGAGACACCATGACCATGATAACCCCTCTAAAGGAAAAGCATTTCATTGGGGTGGCTTAACATTTTCAGAGATTTAGTCCATTATCATCATGGTGTGACATGGTGGCATGCAGGCAGATATGATGCCAGAGAAGGAGCTGAGAGTCTTACATCTTGACAAAGCAGGCAACAGGAAGTGGTCTGATACACTAGGCATGGTGATCATGTATGTGAGACCTCAAAGCTCGCCTCCCCAGTGACACACTTCCTCCAACAAAACCACACCTCCTAATAGTACCACTCCCTATGAGCTTATGGGGGCCAGTTTACATTCAAACTACCACAAGGGCTATTAGAATAATCTACTTAATGTTTGGCATCAAAGAGTGTTGTGATCCTAAAGCAAAATCTGAAGAGTGGGATGGGAGTCTAGAGAATCACCGCAACATCTGCAGTAAAGTTTCCCCTAATGCATCCTGAAATCTGGCTGAAGCCCATGACCCTCTCCATTTCCTTTTCAGCCCTCCTGTGGTTTTGAGGACCCTGGCCAGCTGGGCCAGAGGTTCAGGCACCCTCGCTGACAGGTGCTGCCAAGTCTGCAGTCTCGGGATTGGAGTGTGTGCTTTGACCAATCTTTGTTCTCCAGCAGAATGCAGTTGGCTTTGTTTCACTGTTCTCTCTTCAAAGGGTGCCAGACACACTAAATAGTGATTAAACAAAGATTAAAATTCCATTTGGATGACTGAGTGGCAGTTGGGAGCATGATCGATCCCTTTGGAATGTTGACTAAGAGTACATGGGTTCCAGACACAGTCACTCCAAGCACAAGTCTACATGCATTTGCAGTGTGCTGTTCAAAGGGATTTCTAGACATTGTGCCAGCCTCCCCAGCTAGCTTATATCCTCACTGAGCTCCTTCACTTTGTCTTCATCTCCTGTGGCAAGAGAACATTCGGTGGGGGGTGGAGGGCTGGGGAGGTATAATCAGAAGATGATTGCAAGCCAAAAAAAAAAAAAAAAACCTCAACTTTCAGAAACGCACACCTCTGGGTGTAATGGAGTGTTATAGAAATATCCAAGCACCTCTGGGTTGAAAGCCTTGGCGTGCTCTTTTACAAACTATTACATGATCAGTGTTACTTAAGAGTTGTGCATTTGGAGCTAGGCTCAGTGGGTAAACCACTTACTATGCAACCTGACAACCTGATTTTGAATTCCCAGGACTCTTATAAAAAAGCAGGAGTTTATCGCCCCTCACCTGACATTCACTTCTTTTTGGTTTTTGTTTGTTTGTTTTTCAAGACAGGGTTTCTCTATATTGCCCTGGCTCTCCTGGAACTCACTCTGTAGACCAGTCTGACCTCAAACTCACAGAGCTCTACCTGCCTCTGCCTCCTGATTGCTGGGATGAAAGGCATTCCTAACAGTCACTTTTGAGGCTCTGTCCTGGGTGTAGCCATTAGCCAGCCACCTGCAGTTCTAGAGCACTGGAAAGGGGTGTGAATAAATGTGAACCCAAGAGTTCAAAGACTTAGTTCAAAAAAAAAGAGTAAAATACTGTCAGGCGGTGGTATCACACGCCTTTAATCCCAGCACTTAGGAGGCAGAGGCAGGTGGATCTCTGTGAGTTTGAGGCCATCCAGGTATACAAAATGAGACAGAACAGCCAAGGCTACACAGGGAAACCCTATCTTGTAAAAACCAAAACAACAACAATAAAAAAAGAAGTAAAAATTTCATAATTACATTTTACATTGTTTGTTGAAATGCTAACATTTTAGATAAAGTGAATTGGGTTCAGTTATATATTTTGGGGCTGGAGAGATGGCTTAGTGGTTAAGAGTGTGCACTGGTCTTGCAGAGGACCTACATTCAGTTCCTAACACCTGTGTCCAGCTCTAGGGGATCTGGCCTCCCACAGACACATAGGTACATAATTAAAAATTAAATACATCTTTAAAAACTAAATATGTTACTAAATCTAAGTTCATGTATTTGTTTCTTTGGCATGCTGAGGATAGAGCCCAGAGCTTCATGAATGCTAAGCAAGCACTCCGCTATTGAACTGCATCCCTAAGCCACTACTTTGTTGTTGTTGTTGTTGCTGCTGCTGTTGTTTTGTTGTGTGACAGTGTCTCACAGTATAGGCCAAGCTAGCCTAGAACTCATGGTTTTCTTGCCTCTACCTCCTGGGTGGTAGTATTACAGGGGTGTACCACCACACCTAGCCTTGTTTTCTTTCTTCGGTGTGGAAAGCAGCTTGCTCTGACTGCTATGTCTGCTTCACATATCCTCTCTGTTGGGCAGCAACACCCTTGACACTATCTCCCACGAGTGAACAGATGAGCCTGTCTTTCTTTCCTCTCCTGGGCATTGACCCAGGGGGTGGCACTGAGCTTCTGCAACCCCCTGGCTTCTGCCCATCTCTCAGTCACATGATAGGCCCTCAGAAAGGCGCTCTGAAGGCTGAACAGTCCATAGGCAGTGTAGCCTCTGGACCTTCGTTACTGCCGATACTCCCTTTTCTTCATTTTCACGGTTTCTTCTTTTTATTTTCTTTTTTAAAGGACTTACACAGTCGACCAAAAAAGACATTTTTCTTGGGAGATGAACTAAAGCTGAAGGACTGGCATGACAAGGAGGCCATCAGGAGGGACTCGCAGCGCGTAGGTATGGAGGGCAGGGCTGAGTGTGGGCATTGTGCAAACATGCTGCCGTGGGTGTGTGCACATGTGTCGTGTGTGTCAGGAGCATCTGGCGATTCCTGCCTGCCACCATCCTTCCTAATTCCTGTTCCCACCTTTCACCTATTCTGACCTCTCCTATCAATACCAGACCCACTGTCTTCAAGTTTGCCACCTTCCAGTTAGCAAGTGTCCATGTCTCTAGCAGGCCCCATACTAAATAAAATAAGTAGCAATGATTTGAGTTGACACAGAATGAACAGAGAGCATCCACCCTCAGCAACCTGACCAGCCTTTATGGCCCACTGAACAAGAGGGGACCTGCACTTCAGATATGATGTCATCTGCCAGCTGTCACACAGAGAGAGCAAGGCCAATCTGGGACTTGAACCCAGGTCTGGAAGGCGGATCCAGTACCTCACCAGCTCTAGAACTTCAGCTCCAGTTTCCTTTTGCTTATAGGGCTTTGTCATCTTTCTTGTGAGGCTGGTAGACAGGGGAAGGGCCAACATAAAGAGGTGCAGAGACCTGTGGAGATTCTTCTCTGCAGAGTCCAGTCAGAACAGCTCCAGTGCCAGCTGCCAGCGTAAGGGGCCACCCATGAAACCCACCCTTCCTGAGCCTCTGTCTTCCCATCTGTGGATGACCACATGCAGTCTGCTTAAGCAAGCCTCAGAAGGCTGTTCTGAGGGTGAGGAGTGAGGTAATAGATATGAGGTCACTTTGCTTGAGTGGAAAGTGGATACAGCAGCAGGAGGGATTGAAATTGTGTGTGATGATCTGGGTTAAAGGTGTCCCTTCTAAATTATTTATGACAAAACCAGCTCACTACAAAGCTCAGAAGAAAACGGTTGTAATAACTGAGCGGGTGCCCAGGGCATCCCCAGTCCTGACGACCAGTACTCCACTCTGTATGCCAGGAATGTTATATGAATGGGGAAGGATACTGCTTAAATTAGAGAAAGGAAACATCTGCAAAGAGCCAGCTGGCCAGACAATTGTGCCTGAATTATTAGAATATTGAGCTGGCTAGCAAGGGAAGAAGGAACAGCAGGGAAATTATGAAAAATAAATGACTGTTTACTTTCTCCTTTGTTGAGATAAAATTATACATAAGTATTAAAGAGTAAATATTTTTTAAAAAATTAATTTATAATTGCCTGATTTTCTATTTAGAAAAAAAGAAAAGAAAAGGCGAATGATGACACTGAGAAGTGCTAAGTACAGACCAGGCATTCCATACCCAGGGTCCTCAACAACCATCACAGCGAACCTTGTCTGAGAAGACAGAAATAGCAGCCTTGCCAGGATGCCGTGCTGGGGTCTGGGTGGTTGGCCTTTGCTGCCTCTCCTCTGCTGGGCCTCTGGGCCTGATCCTTAATGCACACACACACACACACACACACACACACACACACACACACAACCCTCCACTGTGTAAGTCTTCTGATGCCTTGCTTGGAGCATGAGTTCTTTCCTCCTGCCTCGCCTCCACAGCTTCAGTGTAACAGAGGACAGCCCTAAGCAGCAGCTGGGGTGCTGACTCTTGGACACTCAGCAGTGCAGACCCTATGTCAGTTCTCAGTTACCAGAAGCCCTCAGGAACCCCAGAGCACAGGTTCTTGGAGCACCAGAGGCCCCCCTCAGACATATTGCACACAGATTGCCAACCGTTTGTCCCCTGAATCTGTGACTCGAAGTAGAACTTTCCAGACAGACCTGGCTGAGTAGATAAAGTGGCTCTTAGTTTACCTCCCAGCTTTAAAGAGAAATCCAGGCATCTTTTTATCACCATGGCATTTTAAAAATTATGTATTTACTATTTCTTTACAGCGGTACTGAGGGCCCAACCCCAGCCCAGCGTCTCATAGCTGCTAGGCAAGTGCTCTGCCATTAAGCTATGTCCTAGCCCTTGTTTGTGGCAATTTTGATTTACATAGAACATTTTCCTTGCTTAGATGGGAATCAGATCGCCTCAAGTTTATCTGGTGTTTTACAGTTTACAGAAAGCGTTCACTCGTGTGGCCTCTCGTTTGACTTCCCCCAGACATGCTGCTGGTATCAGAGGAGGCAATTGGCAATTGTAGCTGAGAGAGCCAGGGTTCATCAGCTCAGAGGAGGGAGGCCTGCCTCCTGTCCAGGGGCACTCAGTGGGCATGGGTTTCAGGCTCTGGAGGGAGTTCAAGGAGCATGGGCTTCGGTCCTCACACCTTTTATGATTTTCAGTATACCTGCAGAGTGAGTTCTCCACTCCACTGTACAGGGTCGCTGTGGGGGGCTCTAGGGAAAAGATGGGTGGAGTAAAGAACAGAACCCTGGCTGCATGAATGCTGGAACCCCTCCCCCTCCTGAACAATTTGGGGGGATACTTGGGTGACATTAATCTTGACTGTTGGGGGCTAGAGGTGGATCTGCAATTAAGAGCATTTGCTGCTCTTCCAGAGGTACAAGTTTGGTCCCAGCACCCATGTCAGGCAGCTTACAACTGCCAGTAACTCCAGCTCCAGGGGATTTGATGTCCTCTTCTGGCCTCTACAAGCCTCCCTCTCTCTCTCTCTCTCTCTCTCTCTCTCTCTCTCTCTCTCTGTGTGTGTGTGTGTGAGAGAGAGAGAGAGAGAGAGAGAGAGAGAGAGAGAGAGAGAGAGAGAGAGAGAGAGAGAGAGAGAGAGAGAGAGAGAGAGAGAGAGAGAGAGAGAGATACACACACACATACACTTTAAAATTTCTTTTTAGATTTATTTATTTCATTTTATGTGTATAAATGTTTTGTCTGTGTGTGACTATGTGTGTGACACACATGCAGTGCCTGAGGGATCAGACCCTCTGGAATTGGAGTTACAGGGATGGTGTGGGGGGGGGGTGGGGGGGTGTGGAGTGCCTGGGGAGTTCAGAAGAAAGCATCAGATCCCCTAGAACTGGAGCTGTGGGTGGCTGTAAAGCACTCTATGGGTGCTGGCACCTGAGCCCAGGTCCTCTATGTGAAAGTGCTCTTAACTGCTGATCCAGCTCTCCGGCCCCCGTGTAATTTAAAAAACAGAAGAAAACTTTTTCTTTTAAATCTTGGTTGTCTAGATTTTATTTTTCCTTGAGAAGTGCCTGGAAGATTTGTAGAGCTCATTCTAGGTCTATCTGTGAGGACTCCTCCAGAGACAAGAAGGTCTTTGGACCTCTGACCTGATGACTATAGATTATAGGGAGGAAGATGAGAGGGTGTGGTTTTAGGGGGAAAGGCACCAAGAGGAAGATGAGAGGGTGTGGTTTTAGGGGGAAAGGCACCAAGGTGAATGAGATGTACTACTGTTGAAGATGGTCCCATGGGGGCCTGAAGAGAGAGCCTTCAGTCTCACAAAACATAGTGTCTATCCTTAAAGGTTTCCTTGCACAACCTGGAAGCAGGCTTAGTTAATATATGATCTAGTGGTAGTCCACATTGCATGCCTCAGCTCCAAGCCACGACAGCCATGAGGTTCGGCCTGAGTGGGGGGGGGGGGGGGGGGGGTTTGGAAAACCCAAAAAGCCACAACAGAAAAAAC